GGAACCTTATACCATTGGCCCCCCGGATCCTGAAGCAAGTAGCCCAACTCTGGATCCCAAAGTTGCCGAAAGCCACCAACTTCAATCAATTGTCCAACTGATAATAGCGATGGGCAGTCTGGCAAGGCGAGGGCTGACCTCTTCAAGCCCACTTCAGGTAGTTGTATGTCATAGTGCTCGTTGACAGTACGATCACCATTGGCGGTTTCCAGAATATGCTCCTCGCGAATAGATATGCCATCAGATTCGGTCTGCGTCAGCTCGTTTTTGTCCTGAATATGGTGCGCAGATCCACCGTCGAGAACCCAGGAGCGCGTCAACGCAGCGGTCGAGCGTGGAGGGTCGACTTGCGGAATCATTGTCTTCTTCCGGTGTGTCTCGGAGGACCCCATGGTAGAGTCGTCGGAATCTGGGATCGCAGTTGGTGTCTCCACCGACCCCTTGTCGCGTCGGTAGTCATGTAGATCCTGATGCCATAACTCTGCTTCCCGTTGACAACGTCGTAGGGCGTCAGCACTCTGTTTCCACCACCACTGTGGCAGCGGGTCTGGTACTTTGACGATATCGCCCTCGTCTGGCTTCTCCATCCACTTGTCAAGAGTGGACTTGCCAGAAACGATGCACGGGTAGAATTCCACGGTATGTGTATCGAAACGTATCCGACGCCGTGGTTTGGTAGATGCTGTCTTGGCCTTGCGGGCGGCCATGAGAGTCTTGCCACGCATGACGTAACTACGGTCGGAGTGGCGCGGGCGGCGATAGTTGGCGGGAGATCGCGCCCTGAACTTGGGAGAACCACGGGAGGAACCGCGGCTCGTGGAACGTCGGTCACGTCCTCTGTCGCTGCCGCACGATCTGTCGCGGCCACGTGGGCCGCCACGTCCTCCGCCACGGCCGTGTCGTCCTCGGGAGGAGGATCGCGATGATCTATCGCAGCGACTTCTCGACTGGCTGCGAGGGTCGGGAGACCTCCTGGAGGATGACCGAGAGCGGTCGCATTGGCGTCGGTTGCCCCGTCTATTGCATGAGCCCCCCGCGCAGCGGGACCCCCAGCGTTGTGGAGAGCGTTGGCTCCCTGATCCGCGGGACGGCGGTCGGCCACGACTGTCCTGACTGGAGGTCTGTGGGCGACTTGGGCTTCGCACAGGTGTCTTCGTACCAGGTGCCAGGTGAGCGCAGTTGCATTTGTCACCCTTGTGGCACTTGTTATGTGCGAAGTCCCTGCACTGCGCCATGTGTGGGAAGTTGCACTTGTCGCCTCTGGCGCAATTGCTGCGCTTGGCGAACTCGAAGCAAAACGGCTTCGATGCTGGCTTCTTGGGATTCGCAGGTGCTGAGACGCTGCGGCGAGAGTTGCCGCCAGCGGTCGATGCTCCGGAAGATCTGCTGCTCTTCCAATCCCTGGAAAAGGTATGTAAACCCTTGCAACGCTCACCATTGCGACAGTTGCCTTTCTCCCAGGCAGCGCAGATATGCACCCGAGAACGATTCTCATGCTCGTACCGTAACTTGTTTTGAATATTCTCCAGTTGTTTGAGCTCCAGTACGTCTAGAACGCGCTGTCGGGGCCAATCATAGGTACGATTCGGGCCGCTGATCTCCATGCGCTGGTATTCGTACATATCCTGCTTCATCCAGGCATGTCGGCGAATCTGCGTGTGAAACAGAGATTCCAAGATCTTTGGGTCGGGTGCCTCTCGGCAATCCAGCAGTAAAGCGTCCCAGTCAGTAATGAATCGTTGCAAATCTTCATCTCCCACCCTCAGTTCTTTGAGGCGCTCAAAATCATGTAGGTCGTCATCAACCTCTGTCACTTTGTAGGACTGCAGGATGTGCCAGTAGATCTGGCGTCCTTTGAGCATGCGTCCTGCTTTGTGCTCTCTGGTTTCGATGAGCCTGATCTGGTAGCGAAAATCGGATGATAAGATATCGCTGAGAGCGGTAGCGAGTTTGCTATCGATGCTCTCGAAGTCTCCGCTGTCTTGTAAGTCTTCGAAGGTGCACTCGGGCTGTTCAGCCACGCATAGGAAGGCATATGATTTGGATGGTCGCCCTGAAGCGGCCCCAAAATTATCCCAGACCTTTTGCTGCCACTCAAGCAGCTGTGTAATATTAGGCAAGACGGGGACTCGGACGGTGTCTGACTCCATGATCGGAGTAGCAGTATGGACCGAAGCCGCAGACAATGGTTGCGAGGGTATCGGTACACCGTCGGTAGGTGGTTCTGTGCGCACTGGAGACACGCGGCGTGTCTGTGCCGAAGCTGCCGCGGAGGCTGCTCCTGGTGACGTACGTCGTTGTTGTCCTGCAGAAGCGTGTGGTGCTTCAGCGGGCGCTGCCGTCGGCCTGGGCAGGTCGGTTGTAGGCTGAGGGTGAAGTGTGGTGTCGCTGGTGTGGTCAATCAGCTGATTTGTCCAGCTCGTCATTTCTTCGTGTATATGGTCCACTTTTTGGCGTGTGTACTCGTCAGTATCCCGAGTGCGTTGTGAATACCGATCAAGTCGTTGCTCGTAGTCTCGGAGACGGGCATTGTGTGCTTCCAACTCACTGTCCAGACGTGTGAGGCACTCCTCGACACGTACCGTTTCAGCATCTCTTTCACGAAAAACCTGGGAGAGCTCAGACTGCGCGTGGTCCGCCGCCTTCTCAACCTCCTGCAACTTGTCAGTGAGGCGGGCGAAATCGTAAACCGTGGGAGGAGAATCCAGCTGATCAGTCTGGGCTCGCCCGACACGCAACTCTGCCAGGGCGCCCTGTACACCAGGGGAACGCTGCTCGATGTCAGAGATCCGGTTAGTGAGTGGCTGCACGACAGCGTTGGTCGCATCAAGCCTTTGAGCGTTAACTCTCTCAGTATTTTGCAACATGCCGATCAGGTTCGACGAGTTGGCGCGCGCTTCGGCGCGAAGCGTCGCTGTAGCGCGGTCCATGTGGGATCGAAGATCGTTGATCTGAGAACATCGCCAAGGGCATTGGCCTCGGCTGGAGGCGGTCGGTTGCGGAGCTGGTCATGGATCTCGTCGTGGAGAACCCTGACTGCTGAAACGCCTGTGTCGCGGACGATCACAAGCTCTTGCTCCATCTGCACAAGGTAGTTGCGTAGGTGCTCGACCGTCGCTGATCGTTCACCTGAGTGTGACATCTCACGGTCAACCTGGTACTGCAGCTCACCTAAGATGCGGCGATCTTCAGCGGTACTGGAATCAATGATCACGAAGGCGCCGTCGAAGTCTTGACGTAGAGCAGCGGCGTTGGCAGCGTTCGTCTGAACGCTCTGCATCAGTCCAGAGTACTGCCTGGATACGAAGGTTTCAACCTGGTCTCTGAGCTCAGCTATTTCACCTGCAGCGGACGTCACCGCCGGCAGGTCGTCTGAGATGGAGAGGTGGGGAGCGTCAGCTTCCCTCTGCATCCTCTCGCGAGGAGTGCATGGCCTCTGCGAGGCAGCACGCGGGCTCGACCTTTTCTCGTCGCATGGGCCTGTGGCCCCGCGACGGTTGCGCAAGGACGAGCTGCGGCTAGGGCCGTGTGCGCGTGGTGTCTGACGAGATGCTACCTGGGGGTACTGCGTCTGCGGCTGCGCCGTCACTGGTCTACTGAGTTCCTCGAAGGTAGCAACGTGCTCCGCTACAGGAACGGTCGCAGGGCTGGTCATGCCAGTACCTGTGTTCCATCGGCGGTTAGCGCGAAAGCGCCCTGGAGTATCAGGGCCAGCGGGGCTGGCGCCCGACGCAGTTGGGATTGCTCCCGACGGAAGAGGAGATGAAGGATCGAAGGTAGGCGCGCGAAATTCTCGACTGCCTGCTCCGACTCCTTCCCCTGCCCCCCCGCGGGCGGCGCGGCGGCGAAGTTCAGCAGCAAGCCGCGCCTCGGGCCCGTCTGAGCCGGGGGGGGGCACCTGGGACACCTACACGGTCCACATTAAGGCGCTCCAACTCATCACCGAGCCGTCGCGCCGTCGGAGAGCTCGGACGCGAGGCCCCGATGGACCCCTTGCGGCGCATGCGCCGCTTGGGCCCCGTCGAGGCCGCGTGCGAGGTCGCGACGCGGGGTTCGATGAACTGCGAGCTTTAAAGGGCTGGTAACCCGTGCATGGGGTTTGAGTGAAAAGGCACAGAACCCCTGATCCGTTGGTGGAGGAAAGGAGGGCAAGATGGATATCTTTTCCTCCTGCGCGATCAAAAGTCTGATCGATCTATTCCAATACCTGCGCCCAAACGGCCAGGCGCAGGAGAGGTGAGGATAATAAGTATATATGAGGGTACTATACGGGTTCTATTCACATTCCTTTCCCCTCTTCCCCCTTCCTCCCCTTCCTCCTCCTTCTCCTCATCCTCCTCCTCCTCATCCCCCCCCCTCCTCCTCCTCCTCCTCCTCCTCCTCCTCCTCCTCCTCCTCCTCCTCCTCCTCCTCCTCCTCCTCCCCCCCCCCCCCCTCCTCCCCTCCTCCTCCTCCTCCTCCTCCTCCTCCTCCTCCTCCTCCTCCTCCTCCTCTCCTCCTCCTCCTCCTCCTCATCCTGCCCCTCCTCCTCCCCCTCCTCCTCCTCCTCCTCCTCCCCCTCCTCCTCCTCCCCCCCCCCCCCTCACCATCCTCCCCCCCCCCCCCCCCCCCCCCTCCTCCTCAACTGAACCGCTACACCGAGTTGTTTTCACAGGCCGAAGTGGATCGCCCCCATGTTTCTGAACGCTTGCAGATGCGCTTTTCGCAGTTCTGGCCCTTCCCCCTCCCCGACATCCTTTTTCCCCATCCCCCTCGCCCTCGGCACCCTGGCACTGCAGAGTGCACGGAACTGTTTTAACGAGCTCACACGCTGGACGCCACAAGTTTGCGATGCGACGCCCACCCCTTTGTCGGCGGAGCCAGGGGCCAGGGGCAAAGGAGGCCATAGCAGGTCCTGGGGGGACAGCCAGGGATTAGGCACAAGCCGCTCGTCGTGAAAACTGCCAGCCTCCGAGCTGATGGAAGGTGACTCCACGGCGCAACAGCTGACCAAGGAGGACCTGGGACTCGAAGGCCGTCGCGCGGTTGCGGACGCCGTCAATCCTGCCTGGGATATTCTGCATACCTTGAGTATCCTGGCAATGGCTCGAAACGTAGCGAGCAAGAGGAAAACGAAGGCGTGCCCGCCCGAGCTCAGCACTCGGGATCAATCACGCAGCGAAGCCGCCCGAACCGCGGATTGTTCCACGAGTTGATCCAAAATAGCAACGGAAGGAGAAGGAGGAGGAGGAGGAGGAGGAGGAGCCCAGCGTAGAAGAGTTCGCCAAACTTTACCTCGCACCCCTCTGACTTGGAGGAGGAAGCGGCAGCGGGCCGCACGACAAACAAAGAGGAGCAGCGGCGGCGGCAGAAACCACGGCAGGGGAGACAGCGCAGGGCAGCGGCGCGGGCGCGCCTGGCCTGTCGAGCGGCAGGCTCGAGTGGCCGAAGATGGCGGCGGCGCACGCGGCCGCCGTTTTAATCGGAACCAGCACGTTACACGGAGCACGAGAAGAGACGGCGGGGCGCGTAGCAACGGCGCCAGCAGAATTCAGGAGCGAAGGGCGATGGGGGGGGGACGACAGGCTGCGGGCGCACGGAGACAAGCACGATTGGGGCGAAGTGATTGGGCAGGGCGGCCACAAGGCATGGACAGTCGGGACGCCCACAAGGGGGGAACGAGGGGAGGAGGAGCGGGCGAGGGGCAAACAACGGCAGAAGCGGCGGCCAGAGAGGGGGGAGCAGGCGGGGAGCAAGCACACGCACGAGCAGGAGAGCTAAGGAGCGACGGACAGGGGAGAAGAGACGAAACCAGGCTCTGGACACGGGCGGTGGAAAACGGGCAGGGGCGGAGGGCGCCAGGCCGGGCAGAAGGCGAGATGGGGGCGGTCGAGAAGATCGACGAACCAGGGGAGGAGAACAAAGGGAAGGAAGGGATGGAAAGGCTCACTTTCCCACCGCTGACAGTCGAAAATGAGAGCGACATCGGGATAGACGAGGCCACTGACCATCCCGGCGCCACAGATCCTCGCGGCGTCATCGACCCTCTCGCGGCAGATGGGGCGGCGGGCGGTGCCGCGCAACTCGAGGCAACTGACCATCTCGGCGCCACTGACCAACGCGGCGCCACCGATCCTCGGAGCGCCATCGACCCTCTCGGGGCAGTCGGAGCGGCGGGCGTCATCGGACAACACGGGGCAACTGACCCCGTCGGCGCAGCAGGGCTTCTCGGAGAAGTCGGAGCCGCGGCGGAGGCTGGGCCGCACAACGCCACCGAAGAGCCCGACAGGGGCGAACGGGCGATATTGAGTCCAGCAAGCGGCGACGCTGAGCCCGAACACGACAACGGGACTTGCGTTCTAGCGCGGCCGCGCAACAAAGGGCCGGCATTTCTTCCGACAAGTGGCGACGTAGAGCCCGAACACGACAACGGGACTTGCAATCTAACGCCGCGGGGGGCCAGGCCCGCATCGAGGCGTCCAGAGCGCGGCGACGTCGAGCCCGCACACGACAACGGGACTTGCGCTCTAACGCCGGCGGCGGGGGAGACGCCGCAGGATCCAGCTGTAAGAGGCGACGCTGTGCCCGAACGCAACAACGGGACTTGCGATCTAACGCCTGGGCGAGGAGCGTCCGAGAAGGAAGAGGCATGTCCAGCACGCGGCGACATTGAGCCCGCGTCGCCAGGCGGGACTTGCGCTCTAGCGCCCACGGGCGAAGCCGATCCTGATACAGAGCGAGCGAAGGTTCCGCTGGGAAGGATAACACCAGAAAGCTTCAGGAAGTCGTGGGCCCCCAGCAAGTCATCGTCATCGATGCCCACAGACTCGGGCGGCGTAGCAACAGCAGTGGGGGAGGTCGAAGGCGAGGGCGAGGAGGCGGGCGAAGCTGACGGGGACGCACTCCGCAATGACGACGCATATCCCGAAGCACGTGGGAGAGGCACCACTGACGCGAGCTCGGTAAACGCCGTGTCTAAGTCAGAATCGGACGAAACGGGAGGTGTCAGTCTCGGAGACAGCTGGGGCGAAGAGAACGATGACTCAGCAGGTGGGGGCAAGTGGTAGTCCCGACGCCGCAACACCGCACGCTCCTGCTCCGAGGCTCGGAGAGGGGCAGCCAGCTGCATGGCGCGAGCGCCCGCAACCGCGCAGCTCCGAATGGCGGGCGGGGCAGACGACCAGGGGTCCGACAGCCGAGCTTCGTTGCACACGCGGTAGGCAGCCGTCATCGCAGAGAACGCCGAAAACGAAGGATGGCGGAGACCCCACCGCGTCGGCCAGTCGAGCGGGAGTGGGCGGGCGAGCGCCGAGCATAACAGGGCACCTGGCGCAGTGGCGGAGCGAGTCGAGCCCCCCCAAGCAGCCGAAGACGCACGCCCTCAGCCCGCGCGGAGGGATGATGCGAGCGTGGGCCATCCACCCGTCAGCCCACGCGCGCACGGCGGCCCAGGACCAGGAGCAAGGGCAGCGAGAAAGAACACTCCGGCACGCATCCCAGAGCCGATGGCGCGGAGGAAGAGGTGCTGCGAGCGCCCAGCGAACTTGCGGGGGCGGAGCGTGAACAAGACCGCGAGCGGGCGCACGGACATGGCTAGGCTGCGAACAGCACGGCGCGCAGCACGTTGGGGACGAGGGCGCGCGGGACCAGCTTGAGCAAGAGCTTCACGAGCGGCAGCAACAGCTGGCGGGCCCAGCGAAGATAGCGGGCCGCATGAAGGGCCCCAGCGGCAGCAGCCCCGAGGTTCTCCACGAAGGCGGGGGACTGCCAGAACGACGGCCTGCCAGAGGCGAGCGCCCCAAGTGTGGCCCAGATCGGATTGTCGGCAGCATGGCAACGTAGCTGGAGTAGCCACTCCCCCCACCTCGGGAAAGTCAGCAGCGCGGCCCTGGTGAGGCGATGGCGACGCGGCCCAAAGGGGAACAGCGCGGGCCGCCCACCGCTCGAGCTGCACCCAATGGTCGAGCGCGAACGTGCCCAGAGCAATGCGGAACACCTGCGCGAGGGTGGCAAGCTCTGGTTGAGGCACGGACGCAGGCGGCCAGCAAAACTGGGCAACGCATGATATAGTGGAGACCGCCCGCGCGTCGCACAGCGTCGAAGAAAGGCCGGCTGGAGCGGTTCCCCGCTCAATGGTTTGATCCCGCAGCCGCAATTTAGCGACAGGGCCGGCCCAGCACGCACTTGGGGAGAAACGCCGGGGCCCGCCCACCCATAGACCCATGCACAATAGAGACGGGGGGACAGACCCGCTCCGCAAGGGGCTGCGAGAACCTGCCATTCAAAGGGGCCAGCTTGCATTTGGAGACCTTCAGGGCGAGATTGGCCATCAAATCGACGATAGACGTGACCCCATGCACGTGGACCAGGTGGTGGATCGCGCTCAAGGCGCCCCCGACGTCGTCGGCACAGGCCCGCGCGAGACCGAGGCCCAACTTCTCAACCCGCGAAACCAAGTCGATCAGGAACACTGATGCACTCAAAGCGACCAAGGTTCCAGAGAGGGCGGACCCTTGGACGATGCCACTCCGAATCCAGAAGACGCGCACCAGAGAGCCCAAGCGCGACGCGACGCCCTCGACAAAAGCGCAGAGGAAGGAAACAAAGCGGACGAACGCATCAGGCAGGTGCATGGAGAGAAGGGAGAAGATGAGGAAGTCCTGGTTAAGCGACGGGAAGGCCTGGCTGAAGTCCGGGGGAGTACAGGACAGGGATGTCGGGAGAGCCATGGGGGAGAACAGACAGGGCCCTGCTGGACGAATGTAACTCCAATGTGTCATTGCCATAGTTTCGCCCAGGAACGAAGCCACGCTGACTCGGTGGCGCAAGGGGCTGCAGAACAGGACGGATGGCCATACTCACCACAGCCGAGATAAGCTTCAGAACACACTTGCGCAGGCCCAGGACCCCGATTTTGTTGAGGGATGTCACGCAGCTGCTGCCCCCCAGCTCAAGGTCAGTAACATTCGTGGGAAGAAATATGGCGTCACTAGCACGCGCGAATAACTCTTGGCCTCCGAGCACCCACTCCAGAGCATCCCACATAATATCAACCCCCACGACGAGGCGGCCCAGGCAGCGCACGGCAGTGCGTCGGGCCCAGGAGCGGAATGGCGAGCGGCACAAATGGCACGTCGGAGCATAGAGCGGGACGGTGGAGGGAGATGAAGATCATCTGGCCCTTTCTGGGGGGAGGCGACGTAGGTGTGGGGCAGCAGCGGCAGCGCCCCACGGCTTCTTCTGAAAGATAGGGGCCCTGAAGTTAGAGAGCCCTCGGGGGAGTTCAGATGGTTCCCCCAGGACCTGACCATCAGGCGCACACACCCCAGAGAAAGATCTTGCGGTTCAGCGGTGGCCATAAGCGAGCACGCCTCTCGAGAGCACGCATATGAGCACGAACCTGAGCACGGTCACCTTCGCTTCGCCTGCGCCCCTCAAGCTCAACCTTCGGAGCCTCAGCAGCCTCGGTCTGGACCTGGTCAATCCACGTCTGAGATGAAGGGGGCGGCGAAGCTCGACTTGCCCACTGGCGAACGAAATCACGTCGGCAGCTATGGGGCGCGAGTCCAAAAGCCCGGGGGCCAGACAGAGATCCTGGCGCCAGACGACCCTGGCCATGGACCTGACGAGCTGAAGGAGCGCGCGGGGATGGCGGGGCTTGCAATGGAACAGAGCGTCACGAGTCTCGGCCGCCGCGATTCTCAGAAGGTCCTTGTACTTCTCGAGCTTCACGGGTGGGGACAGGAACGACCACGACACGGCCTCGCACAGGCCTTCCAGCCTTGTCCTGAACATGGGCTCGGAAAAGATGCGCTCGGGGATGGGGCGAGACTCCTTCGGCCTGGCGACCCGCGGAGAGAAGGGCACAAGAATGGCAGCTCGGCCAGAAATCTGCCGAACAAAAACCAAGGCAGGCGCGTCGAGCGTTCCAATCTGAACATTTAACTGGCACATCTGCCACCCAGTGAAGGAACAGAAGAATCGATCGATAGCCGAGCACACGTTGTTATGCTGTCCATAGTGCGTCGGGCCCTCGCATTCGATCTCTGTAAGAAGCGAGAGGGCGCGCGCCATCTCGACGCCTGAGCGCGATGGCATCGCGCAGAGCGGCGGATGGCCGCCGCCGGGAGGGCAAGAGCCAGAGACTCGCGCATGGCAAAATTGGAGTCCCCGCAAAAGAAAGCGGTGTACATGTCGGGCTCTGCAGCAGCCGCGAGTCGCGATACTGGTATCGCATCCGCCAGTTCACGAACTTGCGCAGCAGAAAGATCACGATTGTGAGCGTTGAAGATGTCCAGCCTCCGCACACCGCCGCACACTGCGACCTGGAGCGCTCTCCCAGGAACGAGCACCCTCTGCCGCACAGTAGTATGGACAGGACCGCGGTGAGCAAGGGGAGGAAGAACAATGGCAACGCCGCCTCCGATATGGCTGGCGACGGGGTCGTCCGAGAAACTGGTGTAGACCGATAGCCCCGAGCTGACAGAGCTGAGGAAGGAGACAAGCTGGGCGTGATCTTGGAAGGCTAGGATCGTCTGACTGGGCTTGAGGCGGAGGAGGTACCCGCGCTTCAGCATGGCCTTACCCCCACCAGCTTGAAGGAGCGCACGGACATTTCACGAAGCAGCACGAAGAGTGGGAGCAAGAACGCCCTCAGGAGGAAGGGGGAGACGAAATAGATCAGCCGCACTAAAGGCACCACCGACTAGGATCAGCAGGGTGCGTGAGCTCTGGAAGAGCGGTGCGGAGCGTGTCCGCGGAATGCCCGTGCTTGCGGCGCTGGTGGACATCCCACATGACCTTCGGGGGGTGCCACCATGGAACACTTCAATCTGCATGGTTCTGTCCCAGCCAACTGAGAGGACGCCCCGTTCGCCGTCGGAAAACAGCCTCTTGCCAGGGTATTGAGCGTCAACGAGTTGACGGGCGTTGCGTAACGTGACCTCCAACTTGATCTGCTTCGGACTCTTGTCTGGGCCGAGGTGGAGGCGGCAGCGGTCGGCGCCAGGGGGCTCGACCCAGAACTCACGCCAACCATTGGCATTTCTGAGGGCAGAGGTAGCTTTGGCCGCCTTGCGAGCGGCGGCACCAAAGGGACCAGAGAAATGAACTTCGAACCGGCGTGCTGGAGACGCACCTCTCTGCTTGATCTCATAGTCTGCATCCTCGAACCCAATGCCACTGAGCCACGGGCGGAGAACGGCAACGACGGAGGCGATGGTTGTAGGTTTCTGCGAGACACCTACGACAATAGTAGAGTCCACCTCACGTGCGAAAGAGGATGGGGTAGGCGGGGTCGGACGAAGAGCCTCGGCGGCAACGACAAGCTGGCGCTGGAGCTCGGACACCTGGGCCTGCAGCGCGGCGATGGCGCTGTCGTGGGCATCAGCTCTGGACGTAATGGTAGCAATAAGCTCGGTGTGCTCATCGATCTGCTTCTGGATGCGCCTCGTGAGAGAGTCCATTCTAGGAGCAAGGGCGGACCGTACCTGAGACTCGATGCTAGCGGACTGCTTGGATACTTCATTCTGGATGCTCGACAACATGCCGAGGGTGGCGTGATTGTTACCAAGGGTCCTGGAGACGGCAGAACTGACCTCCTGGGTGATGGTAGCCCGCATGGCCCCGAACTCATCGCGGCACAATTGACGAAGAAAGTCATCGGAGTAGGCATCGTCACCATCTTCAGGAAGAGGGTGAGCAGGAGCATCATCACCAGGAGCGGCCGCCGCCAGGCGCTTGCGGGAGACGAGACGGCCTGAGCCCCTTCCTTTGCCATTGGGGAACCGAGGCTCGCCATCTGGGATCGTAGGGACAGCATCGAGCTCGGCTTCGAGCGCACGCATCTCCTGGGAGGAGGCCATGGATACGTCGGCGACGGCATCGGCCATGGGGCGAGGGAACTAGAGAAGTCCGCCAGCCTTTGACAGCTGGATGGCCCTGAACGGAGGGCTGCCACACTCAAAACGGGCCTGTCCCAATCTTGAGCCAAAATAGCAAGGGAGGAGGAGGAGCAGGAGGAGGAGGAGGAGGGGGAGGAGGAGGGAGGCAGGAGCCTGGTGCGATGTAGGTGGTGTCGTCGTCTATCTTGACATAGTAGGCGCCGGGCTCGTCCGCGAGCCGCCTCGACGCGCAGACTACCGCAGCCCACGGAGGGGGACGCAAATCGTAGGGGGCTCCCTGTCGGGCGGCGTCAACTGCCCACCACACCGAACCTGGCCGGACCCACCCTGGGCCCAGGATTAGGGTATACGCCTCCCCAGCCGAGCCAAGGCGGTGTAGGCACCGATCTTGGGCTCAGAATCGGTCCAGCCAGGATCAGTGAAATGGTCAACTCACATCGCCCGATCCCCAGGACCTCCTCAGGAGGTTTTGAGACCTCTTCGAGGCCCAGCGTCGAGCGCACCACAGGGGCGACGCGGGAGCTCTATCGTGAAGCTTCTCGAAGCGTCCCATGCCCGCTCCCTTCCTCCCGCATGCTCGAGCTGCGTCTGACCCCTCGAGAGCTGCACCCCGCTCTACGCCACAGTACGTCTCACGGGCGCTTCAGCCACCGTACGGCCTCCACGTGCAGCGCCCTGCCTGCAAGTGGTCTACGACGAGCCGCTCGTCCAACGCGCCTTTCGTCTGTCTCAGCCGCGCTGACGTGCCCTTGAAACTGGCCCCCCCGGGCACAGTATCATCCAGACTCAATGCAATGGGATGGATGGGAGGCGCAAACACTGGGGAAGACCAGTCAGCACAGAGGGCATCGCTGATATGCCGTGCGGCAGGACGCACGCGCGCCCGCAAGTCTGTCACACTGCCAACTCCTCATCTTCCTGCCCCTCCTCTCCCTCGTCCCCCTGCTCCCACACCTCCAGACGTGTCCGTAGCACGGACAGGGCGTCTCACAGGAGACTGCCTCACAATTGACGATGGTAAAGCTCGGAAGTTCCAACGGTTACTCGGATGGAGGGCGCGACGTGTTGCAAGACCTTGCCCTCGCCTTATCGCTGCGCACGTTCGTCTTTAATTGTTCTGATAGTGACAAAGTTTCCACCATTCGTCTTACAATGTTCCAACAGCTCCCATGCGGTTATCGCCCTAGCGCCGCGCACAATCACCGTAAAATTCAAGCTACTACGCGGAGAGGGCGGGTAGTTTCCAAGATCTGGTCCTCGCCTGAGGTCTCCCTCTGTCCTACGTTCCATACTATACTGTGAGTTTTCCAGCCAGTGGGTATATCGATTTCAGGGCGGACCCTTTCGTCACATGTTTGTTGCCCAGGGTTATTCATTGCTCTGTAACATCCACAACAAGTTGGAACGCCTCACCAGCTTGCTTTTGATTGGCGGCGATCTGGCTCCAGCAGGCGGTCGGCTTACGGCGGGGTGCGTCGAAAGTTAAATCTGGCACAGGGGAAAGGGAGGGCTGGAGAGGAAGGCGGGGGGGCCGCGAAATGGCCCTAGCGCCCTCAGAACGTGAAAAAGCCACCAACTCACACGGGCTAGGGTAAATTGGTCAATGCCGTTTGAGGGGGGATACGAACTGCTCTCTGAATATGTGAAGAGAAAGCGCCGTCCCGGATTCGTTGTCAGGCAGGTCCTTCGCGACCAAGGCTCCAATTCCTCGCGCAACTGTCACGCTACGCTATGGCTTTGTGCCATGCTGCGCTATGCTATGCTACGTTGCGCCGATGCACCACAATGCCGTGCGAGGCGACGTTATTCGAAGCTATTCTATGATATTCAATGGCATGAAGTGATATGGTACGCCACGACGTTCAATAGTGCACTGTGTCATGGAATGCTATGCCATGATACGTGAAGCGCACCAAGAAGGCCCCAAGACGGCCCAGAGAGACTCCCAAGACAGCTTCCGACAGAGTCAGATGGGCCAGGAACGCCCTAAGACGGCCAAAGAGGCCCCCAAGAAGCCCCCGAAGGCCCCCAAGAGGCCCAAGGAGGCCCCCAAGAGGCCTCCAAGAAGCCCACAGGAAGCTCCCAGGAGGCCCCAAGAATGACCCAAGAAGCCCCCAAGAGGTCTACACATCCACATCCTCCTTTTTCCTCCCTCATCCTCCTCTTCCTCCCCCATATATTCCCCAGTAGGCTTCCACAACAGCTGGGGGAACGCATGGTCCAGTGGCGTGGCCAAACGTTGCTCAAACGTTTGGCCACATAGGCGTGTAGCCTTAAGGCAGGAGGCGGCGGTGAATCGCCGTAGGCGCCTTCGATCATTGAATGACCGTTGAGGTCATGCACCCCACGCCTTCGAGGAGACGGGGGGCCTCCTTAGACGGCCGCACCCCCCCCGCAATCTCGCCCTGCCCACTGCGCGCGCTGCCACTGCCCTTCCCGCCAGATGACGTCCCAGGCGCCGCCCTCCATGTGCCAGGGGATCTGCCGCCTCCGTCGGAAGCCGCCTGGACGTGTTGAAGCCCAACAGGTTCTCGCATTCCTTCTCTTCCTCCTCTTTTCCGACCTAGACTGCCAGGTACCATGGAGAATCACGACGGTCGGTGTTATCCCAGACGTCGCCATTCTGGGGTCGTCTTCGGAACCCTGGACAATCAGAAAGCGACCCATGCCGAAAGACAAATCCCAGCGAACAGGTCGAGAGCTCCAAGGGCTGACGTCGTGAAGCAAGAACTCCTGATGGTCTGGCTCCTCCCCCTCCACCTCCTCCTCCAAATCCTCCTCCTGCTCCTGTCTCGCTCTTCCTCGCACGTCGAAAAGTGCAGCAGGTCCCAAAGAGGCTGGACTGCAGCCTGAATGGGCTCTCGCGATCCTGCTAGCCCGAGGACAAGGAAGCCCGTCCTCCGCCCCGAACGCACGGGCGGACAACAGTCGCAAGCAGTAGATGGTACTCTGCCGTTCCCCAGGGGCTTGGACGACTTCCGTGTCGCGATGCCAGCAGGCACGTGCGACCCGTCGTTCAGGGTGGCGGTCTCTGCAACCATCAGGCCGGGCGGCTCGGCTGCTTGACACCGAAGACAGCGGGACCAACATCTCTTTGACACATGCCCCTACTGGGTCAACTGTGTCCAGGCCTGCGCTGGCAGCAGGAGCGGCAGAACTCATGCCCCGTATACTGCTATACTGTCCTACTTCTGCGGTTGCCCCATGGCTGGGGCTCTCAGGGCACATAGATCATGGTAGTAACGTGTTTCGTCTCGGATTGTGCCCAGCACCCCGACCATTGCATCCACCCATTGCGACTGAACAGCATAGCAGAATATCATGGAACAACGAGGTACATCGCCACCTTACATCGTCGCTAACATCCTACTCAGTCGATGTAAACAGGCGGACACATCACGTGTCATAGCAAAATCACTAAAGATGAGTATGGGCGGTAATGTGACAAATTGCAGGCAAGCCCGATCTTGTCTGCACTGGCCACTGAAGAAAGAGGCCACCTCAAAGAGCAGCAGTACGTGACTGTATTGCTTCAGGCGCCAGACCTGAATCACAAAAGAGGCGGCCAGGAGGCGCCTCGCCGCACTGAGCTCTTGTCCATCCATTGACTGGTCGACGTCTCCGATGTCGACAAGCACTGATGATGCTAGTCATCCCAGGGACTACCCCGGGCCAAGGAGCCAGACACGAGAGCGGTCTCCGCGCGTAGGAGCGGTCACCTTGAAGACAGAAGCGGGCGACCCAAGTCGGATACGTAGTGCCCAGCTTTTTCGGATGAGAGTGAGGGAGGCGGCGGCGGGCGGAGGCCCCTGGGCCTCCAATTGCACATTCCCATGTGTGGATCCTGCACACTGGTCTCATGGATTGCCCCACGTGGTGTCCCCACGCATCGCCCCCGTATGTTGCCCCCAAATACTGTCGCCCTCGTGTAGTTGCTCCCATGTATTGCCCCCAGGGATGCCCCCAGAAGCCGACCCATCCATCCAGCCACGCGCGCGCAGGGAAAGGGTAAGACAATGCTGGCCCCCTCACTCTGACAATTCGCAGCAAGGCTTGAGCCTCCCACAATGCGCAAAAGTGCGAACTCCACAGACCATCAACACGTCTGGTCGCCAGCAAAGTGAATGTGACGTTCGTGACCCGAGAAGGCCGACACCATATCTACCTCCACGTACCGCAGCAAGTACCCAGGGAGTCCAGCACTGCACTGCATCGGGGAAGAGAACGACCACGAGGAGAAGTGGAAGAGGAGGAAATGTTGGACAAGGAGCGAGCGAGCGAGCGAGCGAGCGTCCATCCGGCCCCACCTGGCATGGGGCCGCGCCCGTTCGGGCGGGACGAGTCGGGCCGTGGCCCCTGTGAAGAGAATGTGAAACCATGCGAACGTACTCGCACTTCGCATTCACGCATTGAATCTCCAAACTTAGCCATGTGTTGCTTCGAACTGTTGAGCCAAATGGTATTGTTAATATCGCCATGTCCTCACTGTTGATGACCCGGCATGATGTCGTCACACACATAGTTGCCCAGAAACGTCCAGATCTCGTCGTCCCACCGTTTATGTTGACCACCGTGGTTACGATGAACTGCTCTGCTTGCCACTCGTAGAAGGAGGAATATTATGAACTCTGAGATGGGGATTGCTCATTATGCCCTCTGTCAATAGCCTGTGCGAACGACGCTGTCGTCCAGCGTTTTCATCCTCATACATGTCCTCTTCCTCTTCAACCTACACCGTTTTCATGTAAGAATATCAGACCAGGCTCACATATCCGAACGCAACAGAGGCTGTCTTCTTGATACGGATGGCCCTCCTCCTCAGAGCAATATCTTCCTTATCCTCCTCCTCATCATCATCCTCCTCGTCCCTCCTACTCCGCCGCCTTACCCACCTTATGATGCACCTCTCGTCCACTAACGCTTACATTCCTCTCGATCCCACCTTGCCTCCCGATCCAGGACGCTTCTTGGAGCAGCGGCAGCTTTGGAATAATGTACGACGTAGGGTTCCGTTTCTGAAGCATGGCCAAATAGTTCAGGTCCTGACATCGCGCTCGTGTCCCCCATCTTTCTGAATCCTCCTCATCCTCCAGCTCCCCATGCTCCAACTCATCCTCCTCCTTCTCCACCCCATCCTCATCCTCCCCATCCTCCATTCTCTTTGTGACCTCTCCAGTGGAAGTGACAGGGCGTCTGCGCAAGGTCAGACTGCCATGGCCAGACCGCCTCCCTTGAGCAGCCTTGCTGCACCCGAACTTGACAGAGTTCGCGCCTTGCGCCAGTGGACACTTGACGCGAGCCCACAGGCGCACCAACAAGGATAAGAAAGAGGGAAAGAGAGAGAGAGATATATAGAGAGAGAGAGAGAGAGAAAAAAAAAAAAAAAAAAAAAAAAAAAAAAAGGCCACTGCACCCGCATGAGCTCGCCCCACGGCCCGGTAACGAGAGCGCCGCTCGGGACCACGTTGAGGTCGGCCACCGACACGGAGAAGCCGACTGCGCCGGCACCTGTCGAGGCGCCACGCGCGCGGTGGGAGGGTGGCCGCCAGCTCCTCCATCGACGTGCTGCTCGGCCACCTCTCGCTCGCCTCCCAGCAGGCCGCTGCCCCTGGCCTCGAAGAACACGACGGCCGCCGACGCTACCAGCCTCAGCAGCACCACGGGGACCCTCTATTCGTCCTCGGAGCGGCACCCCGTCTCGAAGTCCTGCAGGTGCGCCAACATGCACTGCGGCCAAAGCGCGACGTCGACAGGGTGCGCCAGGGTGAGCACCCCTCGCACTGGCAAGACGGGAGCGACGGATACGATGTTCGGGTTGGCCTCGCCCTGGCCCAACTCGAACTCCAGGCTTGCGCACTGCTCCACTAGCCCCGCCGAATCCAGCACCCAGGGGGCCTCATACACGCGCGCGATTGTTTGTCAGCATCTTTGCGCTCAAGGCTTCAGGGCTTGTTTACAGATGACGCGCTTCGGCACCAAACGGCTTTCACGGCTGCGGGTGCTGGAAGATCGGCAGGATCACGCGGGCGAGCCGTGGCGCGCCGCCCTGGCCCACGAGCATCGCTCTCGTAGCGGCGCGGGTGGCGGCCACTGCCCGCGAGCCCTTGCGCACGAAGGAGGCGTCAAGGCCCGCCACGCCGCGGGCCCCGCGGCCTTCATAGCGACCCCCCTGCCACTCGGGCGTGTTCGGCTCGGGAGTTAAACTTTCTTGGTCGGCGGCCGCGGACGCAGCACGAGGCGATCGGATAGCATGGGGCACACGCCAGCAGATCAGGCCAAATGCAAAAAAAGAATCGGAAAGGCCCTCATGTAGCGGGCCAGAGCTCCCTCGGACGCGGACGACGCGTCCTCCTCACACCTGGCCCCGCCTCGCGCATCACGCACCTCCGCAGGCTCGCCCCTGGCCAGGGAGTGGGTGCCCGCCTCCTGCTCGCCCGGTGCCCGCGCCTGCGCGCACACCCTGAAGACGTGGATGTTGACCACCAGCGCCGCGCAGGCCAGGCAGCCCCGCGGGGCGCCTGGGAGCGCTGGTGGCCCTGCGAGGACGCGCCTGGAGCCGCGATGGCAGGCGCGGCGCGCTCGCGAGGCGAGCGGCCTGGCCGTCGACACGGCCTGGGGCCAGAGCGGTGCAATCAGAAACTCGTGCAGCCCATAATCATCACCACCATCATCACTACCATCATCTTCGCCGTGGTCATCAGCATCACAATCATGATATACTCCACGCGCGCTTCTTCGTTAAGCGAGCTGACGGCATACCTTCTCGTAAAGCATACAGATTGTCCTGGCGAGCCTTGTTGGACAGACCAGCGCACCATACCAAACAACGAAACAATAGGTCCGCCAACTTGTTGTGTCGCTCTCAGCAGGACAAACCCAATCAAATTGATACGAGTTAGTTGCGCACAGTTGAACATACGCACGAATATGTATGTGCACATAAATATATATATATATATATGTATAGGTGCGTGCGTGCGTGTGTGTATGTATGTGTGCTTGCCAGCATGAACTCCAAGCAGTGAGATATTGCATTGAGGACGTGTTAGCTATGTACCGTGATATATGAGGTGTGATATGTGGGGGTGCGAGCTGTGAGGTGTAAGCTATGTGGCGTAATATCGATATACATATGCATAGGTGTATGTATGCATGTAAGTATGCATGCACGCATGCATGCCTAAATGTATGCATACATGTGGTAAAACACATATGTATATATATATATGTACACATACTTATACACTAGAACCGCGCGCGCTTCGCTCGCTTAGGTTCTAGCATTTTCATATTGCAATATAACGTGTTCGGCGTGTGGGATATATAGTGTCACACGGATTGTGCCCCTCATGGGACCTCCACCGACGGCACCAAATACAGGCTTGGCTTAGCGTCCCCACGCCCATGCCGGCACGCCCCTCGAAGGGATCGCGCCCCACAGGGATCTCCACATACATCCTCATAGACAAGGTTCGCATAGTGGCACGCCCCTGACGCAGATCGTGCCCAGCAAATAACCGCATTTGCGGCACCAGGGGGGAGCTTCATAGCGTCGCCAGGCTTACTTCAGCACACTTCTCACACGGATCGTGGCCAGCAAAGAATTCCACGGACGGTCCTAGAGGCAAGGTTGGCATGCCGCCGCCCCCCCCTACTCCGGCACACCTCTCGCACAGATCGTGGCCAATAGCCAAAAGGGATCTCCACATATTGCCCCAGAGGCAGGGTTCGCATTGCGCCCCCCCGCCTATTGCGGCACACCCCATCACGCGGATCGTGCACACAAAGAACATCACGTAAAGGCCCAGAGACAAGGTTTGTACAGCGCCCCACCGCCCATATTGGCACACCCGTCACGCGAACCATACCCCAGAAGGAGCTCCACCTATGGCACCACATAGCAATTTCGTGTGACGTCTCCCCACCGAATTCCCATTTCGGAACAAGCCTCGCACGGGTCGTGCCCGTGCCTGGAGTAGGCCCACCTGCAGCCTCACTGGGCGTGTTCGGGCGGGGGCACCCAAATTATTCGGCACACCCTTCACGCAGATCGTGCCCCACAAGGAGTTCAGCGCACCCTTGCACGCGTGTTCCGCAGCAGCCTTCTTTCCACACTGCCCCGCGGCGCGCAGCGTATGAAGAAAGACCCGCGCCCTGCGGTACACATGACTGCATGGCACGGGCCCGTCGCCAAGTCAATTGCTTGCTTACTTCGGCCGACACCGCTACTGTGCCTGAGTTCTGGTCCACAGGATCCCTGGGCACCTGCAATTCGAAATCTGCTGGCGTGCTTCTCGGGCGCCTCGTGGAGCAACTTGTGAAGCTCCTCGGGGCCCCTTGGGGGCCGTTTGGGGGCCTCTTGGGGCCTGTTTTGGGACACTTGGGAGCCTCTTGGGGGCCCGCTGGCGGCCCCAAGGGGCCCACTGGGAGCGGAGGGCTCGAAATGTCAGTTGGAATTCCCCCCGTTTGACCCCCCCTTGGAGCCCCCTTCGGTCGTTTTGGGCGCCTCTGGGACCGTCCTGGGGCCCTCTTGGGGGCCTCCTCGGCCGTCATGGGGCGATGGTGGGGTCCTCTTTGGCCGGTTGGAATCGCTGCTACAACCCGAAATGCGAATATCATAAAGATGTACGCTTTCCCACGGGAATGAAACAATTTTGACCTCTTGGGGCCTTTTCGGGGTGCATCTTGGAACCTACTTAGAACGTGTTCGGGGCATCCAAAGCCCTATTGAAACTATTCGAGCGTCTTTGGCCCTGTCTAGACGCTCTGGCAGTTTTTTTTTGAGCGGCGGGGGGGAGGCCCAGGAGGCCCTGGAAGGGATCAAAAATTTCGTGGGCGGGTCAAAAGGGGGGAATCGAAATCCGCGAGGGTGTCCCGACCTGGGCACCGGGCCCCAGTAACCCAACAGATCTGGAAGCTTTCCCGCGTCGTCTTGGGCGCCTCCTGGAGGCAGAACTCGGGGGTATCAAACAACACGCCTAGATGTTACGGAGGTGGCGGGCCCAAGGCCCGAGGCCCGGCTATTTTATACAAATTTAGGCGAATATAGATACAGACACACACTTTTGAATCCAGCGGCGCGCGCAGAGGAACCTCAGGCGCGGTCGGCTGGTGGAGGTGCCAATCGCGAACGAACTTAGTCGAACGCGACATGGTGAAAGCCTGGTCACGGCCATGCCGACGGCGGTGAAAATACAAGAAGCTCTGCAATGCCAAAGTGCGGTTGCCAAACAAACCGAAAACCATGAGCTCGACGCGTGTAGTTCGAAGCGCAAACAGCAGTCTGGTACGAATTGGTGCCACTGACTCATGAAAGCGATGGTACACAGCGAAGACACAGACATAAACCTGTAAAACTGTCAAACAGAGCGAAGGTGAAATACCGCTAGGTAGCTAAGGCCTGGCGAAACTGATGGATATGGTGTAAATGTCCGAACCAGCGACGCACGATACATAAGCATGAATGGGTGAAGCGCTAGACCTAGATTGGTGGCGACGGGACCAGCACACGTAAACACCACGCATGCGGGGCCGGAACCAATCGAATGAAGCTATGCCGTAAAATCCTTGGTGGGTAGCCACGCCAACAAAGGAGGCCAGTGCCAATGGCACGCCCAAGCTAAAATAGCTGCAGTACAGACGCCGACCATAATATATTGGTAGGGTATCGCTCGGGCAGCACCAGGAGAGACGCGAGGTGCACTGTAAGCACCGACGTCCAGGTCGCCACCGAATCGACCAAAGGCGTCTCGGACAAGACGCGAAATGCGCCGCGAGGTTCGCGGACCCAGTTGTGGAGTCTACGCCGAGCCAGGAAGAAAAACAAAAAACAAAAAACATCAGATGCAGGACAAACCTCGGCGGTGGCAAGCGCGAGGAAACCACCCCAGGAGGCCCGCCCACACGGAAGCAGGAACCCCGACCAAGCGCGAGCAGCTCGGAGGGCCCTGAAAATGAGGGCGCCAGGACGGAGAGCTCCTGGCGCCACAAACAAAACTGCCAGAGCAAGGAAAAGACAAAAATAACGCAGCATCCCACACAA